ATGGCAGTAAAATTTTTAATATTTTAAAAATATATGATAAAATATAGTTAATTTTTTTTATTTCAAATTTAAATATTATTTTTTTAATTATTATTAGTTATTAATTACTTAGAAAAAGGAAATGGAATTGTTGCAAGAAGTGGCTAGAGAAAGGGAAAAAAAAAGTTCTAAGTGTTCTTGGAAAAAAAATGCAGCCAATAAAATGTATTATTGTACATTTTAAATATATAGCTGTAATATATTAATTGATGGTAGAATATCTTATTAAATAGTATGATATTTTTTACTTTTTTTACTTTAATAATAATAATAATCACATTTAAAAAAGAATTGAAAAGAAAGAAGTGTAAGTAAAAAGGAAAGTCAAGCCCACATGTCAAAGGAAGAGTAAATTTAGGAAAACATATAAATATGACATATGACAAACTTTCTCATAATGGTTTCTCCTTTATAATATATATAAATATATATATACATATATATATGGGATTAGTGTTTGTCTACTTTACTTTTAAAAAATTAAAAAAAAAAGAGATAAAAATCACCTTAATGCATGTTTTAAAAATAAAATAATTTAATCTTTTTCAATAAAAATTTATTAAAACGACGTAGTTTTAGAATGATTTTCCTCCTAATTTTTAGGAGGTAAGGCTGACAGACACTTTTTCCTATATATATATATTAGAAAAATTCTCCTAAAATAACGATCCTTAAGCTTAATCTAAATTTATAATACCTTTTCAAAAAGGCGAATCAATGGTGGTTTCGGGGTGTGGTTATGGCGACTAATGGAATTGTTAAAGCCACTAAAACTATGTAAAAAAATATTGATTCTATTTAATTTAATTGTTAAAAATAATTAATAACTAATAAAATAATTGATATTTATTACTTAATAGGTTGCAAATTAGTTTATAAATTGATATTTTTAGACATTATAACTATTTGTTGAAGAAAAATTATAAATATTACTAAAATTAAATACAAATTTTGTGACCTTAACAATTCTATTAGTGGTCATAACCACACTTGTGGTTCTGCTGTTCTGATATTGTGTGAGGAGACCAATGAAAATGGGTAGTACATGGTGGATACCATGCAAGTGAGATTATAAGATGAACAAGCAAATGCAAGCACATAATATAAAAATGAAATATAAAAAGGAGACTCCATACACTTGGTATATATGGGCTGTGTTGTGCAGTAGTTATAGTTCCCTACTGGTGAAACAACAGGTTCCAGTGCGGCAGCTACAACAACTACCTCATAATCTCTAATAACCAAGTCGTTCAGAATATGAAGGTAGACCATATTTGTTAGATTAATAAACATCTTTTACCCTTGGATTATTAATTATTTCAAAATGCTAGTTGTCTTAAAATTGTAAACATGACTTAACACTGTGACTGGTTCTTATGTTCCATACAAGCCACAGTTGGTCACATTTTCTTTACTGGCGAACAGACAAGTGAAAAATTTAACGGTTATGTGCATGGATACCTTGCAGGTAAGATTATAGGACGGTTATGGCTATTTTTGGCAAATTAGTGGGCTGAATTGATATTAATGTGAGATCTTATTGATGTTGGTTACTAATATTATAGGTGTAGAGCTATTGACAAGGGCAAAGCATTACCAGAACGAAAAAAGAGAGGAGAAGGAAAGAATGAGCGAGAATCAAATTTCCTGCTAGAACCTTTCTTAGCATTCACAGGAACATTAACTTTGACACAGACAGAGGCAGTCTCCAATCCCCATAAATGCGATATTCCCACACAATTATATTTGAGTACTGGCAATTTTGGCATTTTCAGAAGCACTCTTATCACTATTTGGATCGCCATTTAACAGCATTCTTGATGATATGAAAAACGAGACAGATGACTTTGTGACTGAAGAATGAGACTGATAGCCAAGGCAAGGGGGTTCCTGTCCACAATTGGACATGTAGAACCCGTTACCACCATCTGCTGGGGAGAATTAACAAATGCTATTCAAGAAAAATGAAACAGATGCATGAGAGGCCAAACTGCCAAAGTGTGTAGATGTATTCCTCTTCATAATGCAGTCACTAATCAATGGAGGTTTCTTGGTTGTTGGATTTTTGTGAAGTGGTTCAGCATTTCTGCAAATTGTGTATTTTTTTTTTTTATTGCAAAGAACTGAAATGATAAAGAAAAGATATGGCAGATTTCAACTGGATTCTGCAGCATCTGATGTCATATATTACTAAATAATATGAACATGCATATTCCATATAGAAACAAATGCTTTAGAAATAACAAGGGAATCTCCCTTTGGGTTTGTCTGATAATAATATCCACTTTATTGGTACAGCCACATGATTTTTATTAAAAAACTAATAAAAACTGAATGAAGTGGAGAAAAAAAGGAAGTTAAAAACAGTAAAGTCAATGGTTGAGATTCAGAAGCTAATGAAACCCTTCTCCTTCAAGCTCTCAACAGTGTCCTTGAGACTCACCTCCAAAGGAATGAAGTTGACACCCAAGCTCTTAATTTTCTCTTTGGATACTTGGTACAGTTTCTTAATAGGCTTATCTTCAAATCTGTGAAAACAAAAAATCAATCAGATTATAAAAACATAAAATGATATCTGATGCAGTCAGTGTGAAGCAAGAAATTGAAATTCAACTTACTTTTCATCAAGGTGGAACTCAGGGAAAAGTTGATGCAAGATCTTCCACAACTTAGAAACGTCTATGGCGCTTTCAACTATGCAGTATCTGCCAGCGGCTGAAGGAATCTCAAATGCTTGAATGTGAGCATATGCAACATCTCGAACATCCACAAATCTATTAAATGGTGGGAGTTCCCGACCTGCATAGTGCATACAAAACACATTTCAGCACAGACTAGACCATATTATAGACATAACAATTGCTACTATTCCCCAATATAACTGCAATTATATATATGTACGGGTAAT